CTTTAATCTCTTTTCATATGTACTCACATATTTTCTTATATTATATATAAAAAAAAAATGGTTGAAACACCAATAAATCCTAAAATAAGATCTTTTGAACCATTTAGTCCTACAATTTATCTTATGAACTGATAAGTCCTGACCTAATGTTAATTACATTAATATCCATTGTTTCCGCACGTGGTTGACATCAAATAGGGGTATAATGAGTTTTCTACAATGTGGAAATTACAAATCTTTCTAAAAAGCGCGTATTAGGCGTTTTTGGTTTCCCTCCTATTCAATCGTAACGTTTGAGACGATAATGGAAAGATCTTTGTTGCCAATGTTAGATCATTGATATTCCATTGTTTCCATACGTGGTTGACATCAAATAGGGGTATAATGGGTTTTTTACAATGTAGAAATTACAAATCTATCCAAAAAGCGCACAATAGGCATTTTTTATTTCCCTCTTATTCAATCGTAACGCTTGAGACGATAATGGAAAGATCTTTGTTACCAATGTTACATCATTGATATTTGATTACTTTTGGTAAATCCTAGGCCTGTGATGTTAATTCCTAATTCCATGTTTCGTTGATTCCACGTTTGAAAGAACCCCGCAAACCCAACCACATTGAAACCCCTTTTGTTTCCAAACGTCAATTGGTAGCGAATACTGATTGATTTTGCCTTGTTATCTGACGGTGAAGATGTATTCCAGTGACTTTAGAATTCCACCTTCGTCGTCGGCGGTTTATCTGTGCGGAAAATGACAATAAGTATCTGTTGCGTCATAGTGGTTTTATGTTGTTTGATTTGGCATTATGAGTTTGTGAAGCTTTTGTGTCCGACGTTACATTTTTTAGCATGTTTGGCGGTGGTTGTTAATGTCGTAATGTTGAACCGTCATTGGCATTTTGTTATGTGATTAGGGCTTCGGGGTGTCGAATTACATTGGAGATGTGGGTGGTGTAATGTTCATCGATTGTTTTGTGTGCGGTATTGGGGGTGTAATTGTCCGTGATTGTTGTTCTGCAGCGTTCAACTTAATGTTAATCACCGATGTGAGGGGAAATTGTGTTGGTGGTGTACAATGGTAACTACAAGAAATTGGGCGGTGGGGAAGGAAGAGGGGAGGGAGGGCGTTGCACTGTCAGGACCCTCTGTTCATTAGGTGTAATAGTTGCACATAAGGGGTGGGGGTGCTAGTTTGTTTGGTGGTAAACGATGTGGTGGAAATGAGTTCCCTAATATCACCATGTGAACGTGTAATGATGATGTTAGTTTGTCCAATGTTTGGTGCGGGGGTGTGCCTATGACGTTCTGATGTTAGTTGTCACATTTGTTGTTGTTTACTATGTACGTCGATGTTAGGGGATGAGTGTGGATGAGGTGTGTGTTTGAGAATCATATGGTGATATTAGTTATTTATTTTATGTTAATGTTTGGGTATCACTTTGTGCAATTGTTATGGCAATACGTTTCGCTGTGTGTCGTGGGTTGGCACTGTGAGTGAGTTTGTTAGATTGTGATGTTGATAATGTCGTTAGCCACAACATTGAAATGTTAGTGTTAAGTGTGTTGTGACGGTGGTGCCCACAAAAAGCAAGCCCAGTAACATCGACATCAATATCAAAGCGGAAGGAAAGGAGGTTGTCGAGCGAGTCTAGGCCTCGGGATTTGAGAATGTGTTTGTGGTTGAACTTTGTGTTAATGGTCTCGTTTGGGAAATGGCTATTTTTTAAGTTTTTTGGCTATTTGACTATTTTTAGTAGACTATTTTAGTTTGTGTGTTTGGGAAGATGGATGAAAATATTTTGAAATGATTGTATTGGAGAGAGTGTTTGATATGATGTTTTGTTATTAAATTACCAAACTGCCCTCAGATCACCAATGTAGCAGCCGTTGATCTCAGCTCGGCAGAAGGCTTCACGTGGACGTACGGACTGCACGTCAGTCCTTGTTTTGTCCAAGTTGAATTTTAATTGAAATTCTAACTTTAATTGAAAAAAGAATTGTCATTTATTTTAATTGAAGTGTAATTTTTAACATGTACAGATCAAATAAATATATATGTAAAACTTATACACAATTAATTACATATATGAACACACCTTCAGTCATTTATTAAACCTGACTCATTAATATAATTTATAATTCTTTTGAAATTTATAATTTATTAATAATCATCAGTTTATAATGAATTATATTAATGTGAAAAATACATATTTTTCTCCAATTATTTGCTTGTCAATTAATTTTATTTTTCAAATAAAAATTCGGAATTTACTTTTTTTTCCAAATAAATTTTGTGTCCATTACATTTTTTTGAATTTTTTTTTCCAATAATTTGTTTTCAATTTCTGTTTTGAACTATTTTTCTTTTCCAACTATTTTGTTTTCAATATTTTTTTTTTGGGAGTAAATTTTTTTCCCCAAATAAAAATATTTTTTTTCTGTAACTATTTTGTTTTCATTTTTTTTTTCAAGTAATTTTGTTCCAACTATAATGTGTATGCTCTCATTATCATAAATAATAAATATTAAATTGAAATATATTTTTGGCTTGACCGCAAACTCTTTTCTTTAGTTCATGTTTACAAAAAATTGTAAACATTTTGTCAAAATCTGTTAAAAATTAAATATGAATTTTTATGTTTTTCTACAAATAAAAAAAAATTAGCTTAAAAAATTATTGAATTTGTCAGAAATTGAATAAATTACCAATAAAAATTATGAACTACATTTCAAAAAAAGAATGCAATTCTTTGTCATGAAATTTAACTGGGAGTCAAATGTCAAAGGTATCCAATAGGTGCAAAATTGAATGAAACTAAAGGACGATCTAGTTAATTAAAATTTATAAGTACATTACAAACATTGAAGCTACTGCAGTTCGAAATAGTATGCATTACAAATAGGAACAGAAGTCCAATGGCTTGTTACGTGGGTCACATTCCATAACATAAAGAAAACATCGAAAAAAGCATATTCACAATAGTCCCAAACTGCGTATGTAAAACAAATGGTTGCGTATGCGAACACGAACTCTTGCCATATCCACATCTGTATTCCCAACCATGAGCCCATCATCGAGATTTTGTTCGCCGGCGTGAACGTCGGGCACGTCATCCAGCGCTGATGAAACAAAATAATGTCTGTCGTTGCCCAAGGCAGCTATCTCGTGTCTACGAATGAAATTGTGTAAGGCCATTGATGCACCGACCAATAGCACTTGCACCGTCGCGAAATCATAGTTCGGCATGTTGTGCAGGAACTTCCACCGAGATTTCCACACTCTAAAAGTCCTTTCCACTACACTCCTTAGTGACGCATGCGCTTCGTTAAACATTTCTCTCGGGTTATCGGGTTGTCCATGTTCCCGAAATTGTGCTTGATGATACCGAGACCCTTTAAATGGTGCCAGGTACCCCTTCTTGTTTGGATATCCCGCATCAACAAGGTAATATTTACCTATAGTTAAATAAAATAAAATAAAATAAACAATTATATACACGTGACATAAACCCCAACTAGTACTGAATTTGAAATATGTTACCTTCTTGTGGGTGCGGAAACGGTGCACGCTGATTTTCAATTACTTCCTTAAAGATGCGACTGTCATGCATGCTTCCATCCCAGCCGCAAGAAATAAAAATAAATCACATGTCAAAGTCGCATACAACTAGTATATTTTGGGTTGGATAACCTTTTCGGCCATAATATGTGCCCGCATCACGGATAGGCAACACAGCTTGTACGTGAGTTCCATCCAACGCACCTATACAATTCTGCCATAATAGAACGCATCACAACTATTTAATTGAACACCGCATTGTACGCAAGTGTTCTTAACGACAATTAAAGTTTTCTTCACCTTGAAAGGTATGTATTTGCCTCTTGACCGCAATTTGGGATGCCTACTAGTTTGAGCTCTGGTTGGCTTGCAATGCTGTTCAGTGAACAACTTCATTGCATCCAACACTGCATGAAAAATGGCGAGACACCGTTTCTCCTGAGTGTTGAAACTGCTCTTGAATGTTTCGGTTTTGGTAGCCGGCCAAGGTATGTATGAACATGGCAACACTTTCTTCAATGTGTAATCCATGAGGTCTTTTAGGTACCCGTAAACCAAAATCTCGTCGTAATGTATGACATAACGCGTTAAACACATACAGAGGCATATGCAAATTTTCTTCACCCCTACCCAAGTGTCCATCAAATAATTCTTGAATCCATGCACGACTGGTTAAAATTAAAGTTCGACATGGGATCTTGTCCATGTACTTTACGTAATATTTCATTGCATGTCGCGCTGCTTTAACGATTACATCATTGTGTTGGTCCTCTTGTTCTTCTGCTTGCTCGATTAAGTAATCATCATTGTTTCGATACAGATTGCTACATTCACCGTTCCACATATCAAAAGTGTTGAACCCTACAATGCACACAACACAGTATTAATTATGTTGACCATGTAGTCTTATCCTTCGTTAAACTAATGCACCAAATAAAAAAGAATGGCAACACCTATGCATACATCCACATTTTCCTACAAACCATAAAAAAGAATACAGTCAATGAAATTGAACAATTCTAGATACGAATGCTGGTATAGTCAACACAAACCACGCTTCGATGAAGCAATACTGCATAAAATGTTCGACATTAGGTCCGCATCCATTCACCCAAAAACATTAATATTAACTAATAGTATTGATAATCGAAGCTACCAAAAAGCAAAAATAAAGAAACAAAACAGCACAAGTCATGTCTACAAAACACCCACAATGGTTTTCATTTTCCGCAAAAACAACAAACCACAGTTCTTACAGTCCTTTGGAGGCCTTCAATGCTGCAAGCCAACCGACCACATTACCATCATCAGGCATGCACATTAGTATCTCACGATAATCTGCATTCTCCAAAGCAATGCAAGCAAAGTTGAAAAGAGGCGTACTGAGAAAGTCGGGTATAGCCATAATCCTCTGCATGCATGCCTCAATGCCATACTTCTAAGAGGCACCAGTTCCATGCCTGATCGTAAGGTGCTTCTGTGAACGAACAGCCTCGGATAGATGGTTGAAACTGTTTGCAAGCACTGATGCGCCAGTGAACGACTTCTTAGACTTTCCACTTGAACTAGCCCCCTTTTTACGCTTTGACCCTTGCTCCGTTTCATCTACCTGGATAATGGAAGAGGGTGGTGGTGAGTCGACAACCGACTGATATGGCGCAGTAAATGGCTGCAACCCAGGTGAGTTAGCAGAATCGGATTCACCATCCGCAATGTCCACAACTTGCTCGTCGGGCGTCCAATGATGTTTCCTAGTCGCGGTTGCCCCTGTGAAAACTTCCCGCATCAAATCTTCATGTTCCAATGGCTTGGTCTTGAATTTGTACGCTAGCTTGTTTGTCTACAAATGAGAAGAATAAAAATTTGAAACTCAAATTAAAGTTGTAAAGTAACAAACAACCAAATTAATTACGAATATGAATTGAACAATACAATACAAGTATATATATTCCATTACATACCGATTTCAAATTTTCCCACCATTCGTCTGACGCGGTGAACAACCTGGTTGACCTGTCGAACCCAATCCCAGTTGCACCCTTACTGGTGTCCATCAATTTATTCCAAGCCTGCCACTCATTTTTCAAAGCAAGGTACTTGTTCTTGAACTGCTTCATGTCATGACGTCTCCCTGTGCGCTAAGCAAATTGCACTGCAATTTCCTTATACCCGGCAACTGTGATAGTTGTACCTAGCCTACGTCCCGCTAAAATTTGCTCCCGCACACACTCTAAGAAAATTTCAGTTGATACACTGTTCCAAGTTGCTTTATGTGAAAGATCAATGTAATCAGGCAACCCTTCAGTAGGCAACTATCCAACATCTTTATGTTTGGACGGTGTTCGAGGGAAGGAGCGTGATGCCGCCATTGAACTAAATACGATACAAGATAGTGTACACATTTTACATAAATAAATTAGAAACGGAAAATAGACAAAAACTTTCCGCATCAAATATCATAAGGAAAAATAACTGTGGAATGTAGGAGAAAAGTAGAACATAATAAGTAATAAGAAGTTGCATTTACAGTAGTCCAGTTTTGTTACTTCAGTTACTAGTTAAACAAGCATCCAACGTACATACATGATGTTGTTACAACGTTTTACATGCGCAGTAATAATATGATAATCGTTATCCACAACATAGAAATAATCGTTTTCATGACACGCAATGTATTAAAAATTTGCACGATGTCAGCCCGTAACTGCATGACTTCGGTTGGGGATGAGTCATGGTCGGGGCTCGGTCTCCTTGATTCATCACACCAACCAATCCAGTTTACACATTGCTGATGACCAACAAACATAACTGTGGTTAGCTAAGGAAGTTCAATTTTGCCAATCAATAGAGATTCAAATAACATATTTGACACAACTCACCACAGGCCGAGGACAAACATAATATGCACGACTAGGATTTTTGTGGGATCTGAAAATCTTAACAACACAATGGCCATAGCCGCAAGTACACATTCGTCATGGCCATGTTGGCGTGCTAGTGGACAGAGATGAAGCCATCCGCTGTTTCTTACTAACAAATATTTAGTGAAAATAGTGATTTTTAAAATTTATCTAGTACACTTTACAGATAATACAGGTTCATCTGTAGTATAAATATAACTTTTCTGATGTGATTCTAGCCAAACAAACATGCGTCATCTAAAGTTTGGCGTAGTCCGACATTATCATTTTAACTCTTAAATGAACCACTCAAGCAATACATATCACCTATGTTGTTGCCATTTATATTGAAGAGCTATGAAATAAATTAGAGTATTTTCACAATTATTTGAATATGAAACATAAGAAACTCTTAAATGAACCACTCAACCAATACATACCAATAAATTATATGTATTTATAAATTATAAATTGTAAACTACAAATGTATTCCAAGAACATGAACTGGTCCATGGAAATGGGTGCATTACCAATTTAATATTCAAGAAAATGTCAACCTACTGCTCTAGTTCCTGATTCTTTTTGGATAGTGACCCCAAATTGAATTGTCCTTTCAATCCATGCAAGAATTATATGATTCTCACTTACCAACATCTATCTAATATTCAAGAAAATGTCAACCTACTGCTCTAGTTCCTGATTATTTTTTGTTTTGATGCAAATCCCTCCAAATAGTTGACACCAACAAACCAGTTGAAAAACTTATAAAAACCATTACCAAACAGACTAAACTGCAGAAATTTTACACTAACTAACATATGTTAAGGTTCTAAATAAATGGAGGAGAAAAATGGTTCATCCAGTTGGTCGTAGGTGTGGCGGTTTCAACTGAATTGAGTAAAAAAGCCCAGTAGGCTTATGCATTTTGTAAGATGAACACACACACACACACGCACACGCACGCACAGAACTTGGTCATGGATTTGGGTTGTCCCAGAGTAACCAAAAAATATTAAGACTCTATTTGATTGAGATATATAAAAGGGCTATGCAGGTTAATCGGATTTTCTATCAGGCAAGGCCTACCACTTGATGGAGCAAATTTTGCAAAGGTGACCAAGTTCAGAGCATTGGAGAGTAGCAGTTTTGGGATTTAGACAGTCATGACGAAATAGGTAAAATAATGAACAGAAATGACGAAATGAGGAAATCAGATTAAAGTAATGAACAGAGCATTGAAGATTCCCAACATGTTATTCTACCCTTAATTCAGATTAATTGAACGGGTTGATAGAAATTTTTTTTGCTCCATCTCATAAACGCAGATTCACTATTATGAAAAATTTGGTCCATCTCATATATGATGCACAAACACGGATGGATAGAAAAAAAATGGAAAAAACACAGTGGATTGTGAATGATAATTATGGAAATCAAGGGGGATTACATCATTCTAGTTCGAAAAACTGGGAAAAAAATGGGAAAAACTGGATTGTGAATGATAATTATGAAAAAAATTGTTTTGAAAAAAAAAAAAAACAGAAAAAACAAAATCCAAATGTAAGCAACGATTACATCATTCGGATTGTGAATGGTAATTATGGAATCACGGGGGAAAAAAATGTAGCTCAACACAATGGTATTCGGTTGTTATGACCCATTTAACTGAGGCGAGAAAAAAATAAAATAAATAAAATAAATTTGTTGTCGGCGATTTATGTTTGGAAAAAGACGGATCAACACCAGATCGGCGTAAATAGCCACCGAATACCATCACTATGGGCCAAAACAAAGGAAGATCTTGTAGATCGGAATGGAAAAAGTTTCAAACCGAGTCGACAAAGGTAAGAAACACATGTATAATCGGTTCAGGTGATTTACCTGTCGTAGTTCTTCGTCTGTCGTGTTCTGTAGAAGGCAGAGCTCCGCCGGAGATAGGTCCGCTAGAGAGAGATCACTCGTGAACTGGTGTTGCTACAGTCGGTGTGAGAGACGGAACGAAAGAGATGAAAATAGGGCACTCGTGTTTCAGCTGTGTGTATAACCCATACCTTTTAAAATAGTTAAAGGGTAAAATGGTAATTCCACCCCCGTTTCTAACCTAGTTGAACAAACGCGTGCACTGTTCACGCTTTTTGGCTTATTTTTGAAAAGAGGCTATAATAGTCTGAACCTTTGTTTGCCAAACACCGCCAATGAAGATTATGTAGAAGTCTTTGCTACTGAGGAGTTTGGCTAGTTTTAACATGGGGTTGATGTGGCCTTGAGCTGGGAATGGTATACACATTGCATAAGGCTTCTCTGACATGGGTCTAGAACCCATTCTCTTTCTCACTCTCTCTATGGTGGGATTGATGCTTATGCAAAGAGAATATGAAAACCGTTTTATAGTCCAGCAAAAAGATTCAGGAGTTGTTTGGGGTGTCCTAAATAAGTGCACTTTTTGACTTTTTATGAAATATGGGTTGGATATGGGTTGGGTTTGAAATAATGTGATAGAGAGGTGATGTGAGTTAAATAAGATGATGTGACTTAAATAAGATGATGACTTTTTGACTTTTTAAATTTTTTTGAAGATGCCAAACTTGACCTCAATATCTCTCTATAGCTAGTGTTAACCTGCTATGTTTGAAGGTGGTGAAAAAAAGTCAAACATTAGTAAATCCGATGTTAACCATAAACAAATGTAACCCTACCATTGCGAAACACTCTCCCCAAATCACCTCTTAATGGAAATGTTGCATACATTACTCCTCCAAATCCCACTAGTCAAAGTAAATCCAAAAGGAATCTCATATCAAGGGCAAAATTGTAAACTTCAACATCACCAAATCAAATAAATACTCATTACTAAATTAAATAGGGCTAAATGATTCATAAGAAAAAACACAAGACTAATTAGATCAACATTTCCTCTCATAGTGTCATTTTGGAAACATAGTAAAAAGTCACGTTTTTTGACAAAATGTCCAAAAATGCAAGTGCCAAAAATGCCAGAAAATTGGTTTGGCAAGTGCTAAAAACGTAGGTGTAAAATTACAAATTAGAGCCTATGAAAAGAAAATTAAAAAAAAAATTTCTTATGTTGGGTAATGATATTTTGGTGATTTTAATTTAATTTGACACCATAAATAAATATTAAACTAAAAAGCAAAAAGTCAACTTTTTATCAACTTTCCAAATCACTTTTCAAAAAGCTAAAAAGTTTGATAAAAAATAAAAAATTAATTTTTACCAACTTTTCGAAACACCCCATAAGATTTATTGATAAATTTTCTTTAAAAAAAATTATAGTGTTTTCTTATACTCAATTATAGCATTTTCCATCAAAGTAACATAAAATGACACCAAATTTAAGGTTACGTTTGTATAGCTTTAATCATAAAAATATATATTTTTATTTTCAAAGAAAGTCCTAAAGCATCTAATCAAGATCCCTTTCTTGAATTTTTTTCCTTATATTTTTTATTTGCAGGGTCATCGGGTCTATTTTTAGGTCTAATTTTAATAATTCGAACCGTTTAAATTTTAAAATTTGTTCAGCATATCATACCTGTAAAAAATTAAATTGATCGGATATCAGAAAGCATGTGTTCGGAAAACTATTTATTAAATTCTTTAAAAAATAGTTTTTAGTTCGAATTTTTTGAACACATATTTTCTGATATTCGATCAATTTAATTTTTTACAAGTATAATATATTGAATAAATTTTAAAATATGAACAATTTAAATTATCAAAATTAAGCCTAAAAATAGACCTAACGACTCTACAAATAAGAAATGAAGTAAAAAAATGCAAGGAGGGCTCATGATTCTAAAGCATCATCCATAAGCATATTTTCCATTTTCCAACCCCATGGTCCCATTCACTCTCCACTCTTAAAAGACACTCTCCAGTCCATTCCCCCAAGCTTCAGAGACTCATCAGACAGCGAGAGAGAGAGAGAGAAACAGAGAAACAGAGAGTTTTTTAGAGAGAGAGAGTAGAAGAAGAAGAAGAAGATGTCGAAGGAAGTGAGCGAAGGACATGCCAACCATGGCAAAGACTACGTCGACCCACCACCAGCACCACTCATTGACATGGCGGAGCTCCAGCTCTGGTCCTTCTACAGAGCCATCATCGCCGAGTTCATCGCCACCCTCCTCTTCCTCTACATCACCATCGCCACCGTCATCGGCCACAAAAAACAAACCGGCCCCTGTGACGGCGTCGGCATCCTCGGCATCGCCTGGTCCTTCGGCGGCATGATCTTCGTCCTCGTCTACTGCACTGCCGGCATCTCCGGTAAACAACACAACAAATATCTAAAACATCATCAAATTTAGAAATGGTAAACGAACCAAACAGCTCGAGTTGGACTCGTGTTCGACGACTCGTTAAAAAGCTTGTTTGACTTCAGTTCGTTAAGTAAATAAATCTCAAGTTTGAACACGTTTTCGTTTATGAACTCCTTAAAATTTTAAAACCAAACTTAAATTTCTTCGGCTGTTTAAAACTATATAAAAAATATCAAATTATTTAAGTTCGATTTGACAAAAACCGGTTTAAGATCGACTTCTTAATCAAATCTCTTATTTCCTCACAATAATTTTCTTAACTTTGTTTTGGATTTTCTTACAGGTGGTCACATAAACCCGGCGGTGACATTTGGGTTGTTCTTGGCGAGGAAGGTGTCGCTGATCAGAGCATTGGCTTACATGATAGCGCAGTGTTTGGGTGCGATCTGTGGAGTTGGGTTAGTTAAGGCCTTCATGAAATCTTCCTACAACTCGCTCGGTGGTGGTGCGAACTCAGTTGCTCATGGGTACAACAAAGGCACTGCTCTTGGTGCTGAGATCATCGGTACTTTCGTCCTCGTTTACACTGTTTTCGCAGCCACTGATCCCAAGAGAAGTGCTCGTGACTCTCATGTCCCTGTAAGTAGTAGTGACCCAGATCAGATCATGGGACCTAAAAATTTGTACCCATTTGTTGTTTTATGAGATTTTTTGGTTTTTTGAATCTGAATTTGTGTTTTTGGGTTAGGTTTTGGCTCCTTTGCCTATCGGGTTTGCGGTGTTTATGGTTCATTTGGCGACCATTCCAATTACGGGTACTGGTATCAACCCCGCTAGGAGCTTTGGAGCTGCTGTGATTTACAACAACAAACATATCTGGGATGAACATGTAAGTTTCATCTTTTTGTTAATTGCAAAGTAGTCCCTAGAGTATGTCTTATGTTACACTCTACTCCCTAATAGAAAGTTTAAACATACAAAAATCTATGTCTTATGTTAATCACAACTCTCTCACTTGAGTGGTCCTATCCATGTAAAAGAGTTGTTCGGTTATGTGATTGATTTATGTGTAACCAAGTAGAGAAGTTGATACTTCAGTCATTCTAATTTGGTGTTTAAAATATGAAAAATGATATATTAAATTTAATTTCTAGACTTGGTGATTTGTTAGTAAGAGAATTAGTTGATAATTAAAGAATATTTAATGAACAATTAATTATTTTTTTAAAATTCATGTGTATGTTTAAGGGTTCTTGCAAAATTAAAAAAAAAAAAATCAAAATAAAATAATTAAAAAGATTGGGTAGTCTTGGTTTTATTTTTAATGTATTGATGTTGTGTTTTACTGATATGTGGGTTGATATGTATATGTATATGTATATGTATATGTATATGTATATGTATATGTATATGTATATGTATATGTATATGTATGTATTGGTGATGGACAGTGGATCTTCTGGGTTGGTCCATTTGTGGGAGCATTAGCAGCAGCGGCATACCACCAGTACATTTTGAGGGCAGCGGCCATCAAAGCTTTGGGATCCTTCCGAAGCAACCCTACCAACTAAGAGACAGACAGACACAGAGACAGAGAGAGCCTCACAAGAACCAAAATTATTAATTTATTTGATCTCTTCTTCATGTTCTTCTCAGCTCTATTTGTTTGTGTATTGTGTGTATGAAATGATGATGATGGTTGTTGTTGATGATGAGCTCTTCTTTCTTTTTCTTTTTTTTTTCTCGTATTTATCTACATATAATTTAATCCTTTTGTTCTTTGTTAGCTTTTCTGATTTTGTATTTAATGTAGTGGTGGTGTTGTTTCTTTCACTCCCTCTCTCTCTCTCTCTCTCTCAGTGGTGGTGTTGTTTCTTTCACTCTCTCTCTCTCCCTCTCTCTCTCTCCCTCTCTCCCATGGCTTCCTCTTTATCTTCAAGTGAAATTCAAGCAGAAGTTTAAGATCATCACAACCCACCAACCACCCTCCACGTTAGTGGATAAATAAAGAGTAGGATTTGATTAAAATTTATATAGCCTCCGTTTGGTCCGTTTGGTAGATGGGTTGATTTTTTTAGTTATTTTAACTTGGATTAAAAAATTTAGTTTGGAAAGAATTTTGCGGACTTTTTTGATTTTTTTATGGGAGAAGAGTGTAATGATTATGAGTTGGATGTAATGATATGTTTATTGTGTTTAAAATAATTTATTTTGTCTTTTGTGATTATTTTAATCACAAATTAATTTGTCAAACACCACCATAATAATTTTATATGCATTCATTAAAGATTCACGTAAAAAAAAAAAAAACATAAAATTTGATGAAATTCATCTCGAGGCATGTGGGATTTTACTTGCAAGTAAAATCTATGTTAGATGGGCAAATAAAGAGAGATGGGTAAATAAAGAGAAATGTTAGGAGTTATGAAAGAATTTTCATGATATAAATAAAACTTTGATGTGGACCTGACACTGGTTATGCCCCCATGAGCCAATGGACAGTGTCATGCCCCCATGAGCCAATGGACTTGTCCAACGTCATGGAATCTTCACCAGCAACATATCCATCATTTATCTACAATTCTTTTTTTTTTTGTTAAAAATCCATCATTTATCTATAATTCTCTTTTTTGTTAAAATTTATTTATTTATAATTAAAAAAAGAAAAATAGATTCATAGCGTATTTATTAATTAAGACTTAAATTTAGGCATATCATTCATCTATAATTTCTTTTAAAGTAAAAGAAAAATAGAAAAAAAATTGCATAATGCAAGAATAAGATTTTATTTTATTTATTTTTGTATTTTTATACTATTTACATTAATTTGGATATGTTAAGCCTTATTAAAAGAAAATGTAATATAATTATAATAATATTGTAAGGATTGTTGGTATTTTTTCAAGTTAGTGTAATTTATCAAAACAAAAGCAACCCATAAAACAGTGACGCGTAGCCTAGAGGGGAGCTCGAAGGAGTGGAATGGGCTACAAAGGTGCGTGTCGTGTGTTGTGTGGCTTAGTTACGTGGCTTAGTCATGGTATTGGTTTTAAAAATTTTATTAAATGTTTTATATAGGTGTGAGATATACATTATATGAGTCTTATATAAATTTTATATGTGAGATATTTAATAAAAATTTTAATAGAATTTTTAAGAATGTTTGGTAAAAGTTTTTTTTTAGTTTTTTAGGCTAACATTTATAAAATGACAAAATAAGGTAAAATAATTAATAAGATAAAATATTATGTCAAATTCATAATTATTTTACTTTTTTTCTTACAAACATTATATTTAATTACAAAAAAATTTATCTTCTCAAATATAAAAATTTTAACCTACTAAAATAATTAAAAACCTATTAAAATAATAACTTCACAAACACCCATCAGGGTTGGTTTAAGATGATCTAAATAAAAATATATTTTTTAACTTTTTATAAAATATAAATTGAATATGAGTTAAATTTAAAACGATAAAATAAAAAAATTATATAATTTAAATAAAATAATTTAATTTAAATAAAATAATAATTTTTTAATTTTTTTAAGTTAAGACAAATAAGACTTTAATATTTTTGTTGTGTGACTCCCTCCTCACTCAGTCACAAAAGCAGTGGTGTCTGAAATACTGGCACATGGACAGGTGTTTGACTCCTTTACGACTACAAGACAAACCAATATGAGTACCCCCTCAAAACCCCCCAAAGCCCGAAAAAAAACAAACATACAAATGCTAATCCAACCCCAACACCCACGTTAACCCTATGGCACCCCAACCTCTCTCTTGGTGGAGAGTCACGGCACCTGACATTTGCATGTTTTTTTTTTAGGCTTTGGAAGTTTATTACAACTTTTACTTGTAATTTATGAAAATTGATAATATTACATATATTAATTAGTATATTAATATTAATTATGATATTATTATTAATTTTATTTGTTATATAAATTATAAATACTAATTTTTTTTAAAATTATATCACATCATTAATTAATATACTAATTAATACATATAATATTATTCTATGAAAATTAATTATTTATAAAGAAGAGGGAGACGCATTTAACTTTTACTATTTAATTATTATTTTTTAACTTGTTAGAAATTATACTAAACAAATTTGTAATTTTCTGAAAGTACTAAAAATTACTGGTGAGAAGTGGAGTGAAAAATTTATGAGGTATTTTCCATAATAAAAAAATAACATTACTTAGGTAGTACTCTCAATAAAAAAAAAATCTAAAACAAAAACAAAATGACACTATGTTGTTTTTAAATCACATATTTGAATAAAAAAAATAATAATAAATGAAATATATATATTTTTCTTTTTCTTTTTAAAATGTGTCTTCTTTTAACTATCTAACGACCTAACCAAAAAAAAAATTTGAATCAATAGTCTCCCCTCAATTTTTTTATACTAACGGTAGGGCAGGGGTCCGCTTATCCTGGTTGCTGCAAAAGCCAAAGAGGTAAAAAGATATATGCATCAGTCTCGTCTTTTAACCAAAGTTGATTACTTTTTCTTTTGGGAGAAATTATTTTAGGCATATCATTCATCTATAATTTCTTTTAAAGTAAAAGAAAAATAGAAAAAAAATTGCATAATGCAAGAATAAGATTTTATTTTATTTATTTTTGTATTTTTATACTATTTACATTAATTTTGATATGTTAAGCCTTATTAAAAGAAAATGTAATATAATTATAATAATATTGTAAGGATTGTTGGTATTTTTTCAAGTTAGTGTAATTTATCAAAACAAAAGCAACCCATAAAACAGTGACGCGTAGCCTAGAGGGGAGCTCGAAGGAGTGGAATGGGCTACAAAGGTGCGTGTCGTGTGTTGTGTGGCTTAGTTACGTGGCTTAGTCATGGTATTGGTTTTAAAAATTTTATTAAATGTTTTATATAGGTGTGAGATATACATTATATGAGTTTTATATAAATTTTATATGTGAGATATTTAATAAAA